GTATAGTTTTGGGTGTCATTGGGAGACAAAAGTTATATGCTAAATTTTCCAAGTGTGAGTTTTGGTTGACTTCAGTTACCTTTTTTGGACATGTAGTTTCAAGGGAAGAGGTAATGGTAGATCCCCAAAATATTGAAGCGGTTAAGAATTGGGTCTGGCCTAGTTCTGTGACTGAAATTAGGAGTTTTGTGGGGTTCGCTAGCTACTATCGTCGATTTGTGAAGAACTTTTCTTCCATTGCCACACATCTAACAAGGTTGACCAAAAAGGAGGTACCTTTCGAGTGGACTGATGAGTGTGAAGAGAGCTTTCAAAAGCTCAAGATTCTTCTGACCACAACACTTACGTGGGGGCTTGTTCTTATTTTACCGGAGGGGGTTGAATTAGCTCCTCCCGATCGTATCTCTCCCGAGATAAAAGAAAAGATTGGCAATTTTTCTTGGCACTACCGGTGGAAGGTAAGGATTCTATTGTTTATTGTGATGCTTCATATGCGGGTTTGGGTGTTGTGTTGATGCATGATAAAAATGTCATAGCTTATGCATCACGGGAGTTGAAAGTATATGAGAGAAATTACCCGGCACATGATTTGAAATTGGCAGCTTTAGTGTTTCCTCTCAAGATCTGGCGGAATTATCTTTATGATGTCAAGTGTGAGGTATTTACTGACCACTGTAGCCTGCAACATGTATTCACTCAAAAGGTTCTAAATCTGAGACAGCGAAGGTGGATAGAGTTACTCAAGGATTATGATGTGACCATCCAGTATCATCTGGGTAAGGCTAACGTAGTGGCAGACGCCTTAAGCCGAAAGGCGATGAGTATGGGTAGTCTAGCTTGCTTGGGTGTATCCAAGAAACCTTTGGCTAAGGAAATTCGAACCTTGGAGTCTAAGTTCATGCAGTTGGGCATCTCAGAAATAGGTGGGGTGTTAGCTAGCATTAAGGTTAGGGCCACCTTTATTGAGGAGATCAAGGCCAAACAATTTGAGGATGAGAATTTGAATGAGCTTAGAAATAAGACACTTTCTGGTAAGGCACAAGATATGGTTCTTGATGGGGGGGGGGGTGCTTAAAGGAAGAATTTGTGTTCTTTGGTGGACGACTTAATTCAAAATTTATTGATAGAATCACTTCGCGGTATTCCATTCATCCAGGTGTGACCAAGATATACCAAGACTTGAAGCGACTTTATTGGTGGCCTGGCATGAAGAAAGATATAGCAGAGTTTGTGGCTAAGTGCCAACAAGTAAAATATGAGCATCAAAGGCCTGCAGGTTTGCTTCAGAGAATGTCAATTCCGGAATGGAAGTGGGAAAGGATAGCCATGGATTTCCTGGTTGGTCTCCCCAAGACTTTGGGGAAATTTAATTCTATTTGGGTAGTAGTTGACAGATTAACTAAGTTAGCCCATTTTATTCTGGTCAGAATAGACTATAATGCTCAACAGTTGGCTAAGGTTTATGTGAAAGAGATAGTGAGGCTGCATGGGGTGCCCCTTTCTATCATCTAAGACGATGGTACGCTGTTCACATCCAAGTTTTGGAGGAAATTACATGATAAGTTGGGCATTAAACTCACCTTTAGCACCGCCTTCCATCCGCAAACGGACGGGAAGTCAGAGAGGACTATTCAAGTGCTAGAGGACATGTTGAGGGCATGTGTGATCGACTTTGGAGGACATTGGGATAAGTTCCTACCCTTGTGTGAGTTCTCCTATAATAACAATTACCACTCCAACATTGATATGGCACCATTTGAGGCACTTTATGGGAGGGGATGTAGATCAACCATAAGATGGTTTGAGGCTGGAGATGTGAAACCTTTGGGGGTTGACTTGGTGAAGGATGCTCAGGATAAGGTAAGAAACATCCAAGCTAAGCTCCTAGCAGCCCAAAGTCGACAAAAAAAGTATGCAGACCATAAGGTAAGAGACATGACATTTCAGACTGGTGAGAAAGTTCTTCTTAAAGTGTTACCCATAAATGGGGTGATGAGATTCGGCAAGAAGAGCAAGCTTATTCCTTGGTATATTGGACCCTTCAAATTATTGACTGTGTAGGGCCAGTGGGCTATAGATTGGCTCTACCTCCAAACTTATCTGGAGTTCATCCAGTATTTCATGTGTCCATGGTGAAGAAGTATCACGAGGACGGGGATTACATCATAAAATGGGACTCAATTTTGCTAGATAAAGACATTCATTATGAGGAGGAACCGGTGGAAATTCTTGATCGCGACATCCAAAAGCTGAGGACCAAGGAGATAAAGTCTATGGATGTTCAATGGAAACATCATCCGGTGGGGGAAGCTACTTGGAAAACTGAGAGGGACATGTGAGACAAGTATCCCTAGTTGTTCAACGATTCAGTTACTACTCAACCCTTACTTTAGCCAGTCTTTCTTAGTTGATCACTCGGGGGTGAGTGATGGGTAAATTTGTATCTATTGTAACGATATGATTCCGTCGTTGGGGAAAAGTCAATGGAGAAAGAATTGAGGCTAGAAAACTTTTGAGTAGTAACTTGGGAATTCCTAGCCTAGTCCAGATTTGGACGAAATCTGAGTCAGTGAGGTCTAGGGAAATCTGATAATGAATGAGAGATTTAATAATAAATTTGAACATATGAATAGACAACTAAGACGTTAAGGAAACCGTATGACTTTACGAAATCGAATTCGAGTGAATAGAACACCCGAAATTGATCTTAGCGTGAAGAGGCTATTTTTGAATGTCATGGGTTGAAGGTGCACTGTGAAATGAGGATTTGAAACTCTAATTCCGACGTTCTTTCTCCGCTCAAGCCGCCAGGGCAGGATTCATTCCGCTAGGGCGGGATGGGGTCCGCTGTAGCGGGTCAATCGCGACTTAAGTCGACAAAAAACCCCAATTTCATTATTTTTCCGCAAACTTTGTTCTTAAGAGTTAGGAGATGACCCCAGGTGATTTCTTGACAGTTTTCCATGACTTTTGGTGCTAAAGGTAATGATTTTACTCCCCTAATTCGTTTTTCGATCTGTAGAACTTAGATTCTTGGGTAATTATCGTTGGGGGAGGATGTTGGCCTGTTTATGGTGGGAAAAATCCTTAGATACACCTTAGGATCATGGGTTTGGTCTTGGGTTATTGGGTTTGTTATAATTCGGGTAAATTAGACTTAATTATTGATCTTTGCGTTAAATTATTCGTTTGTAGACCAAGAACAAGAAGAAAGAATCCGGAAAGGGAAGGCTCAAGTGTCTTAGGAGGATTCAAGCTTAGTTTCAAGGTAGGTGATGGTTTGATTTCATGTTTGTGTGTTGTATGTTAGTATTCACTTCATTGTAATGCATGTATGTATGTGAATGAAGCACTATTGATCAAACCTAATGTAAATGAGTATGATGAACGATTGTATGCCATGAATCAACACTTGATTGTATGATTATGAGAATGTATATTGTGATTGTGATTGTGGTATGTTTATTGGATCGGGTGTTACGTTCCGACACACTAATTGGGATCGGGTGTCACGTTTCGGCAGACTAACAGTTTGGGTACGGGTTCCATGAGAGGACCATTGAATTGTCTTATTTACTTGTATTGAGAATGTGGAATTGTACATTACTCCTGAAATGATAACCAATGTATTTATATATTTTGTGCATGTCATGTTTACTATGTTGTGACTTCTTATATATGTTTCGCTTACTGGAATAGTCGTGTGATCCTACCAGTACATTGTGGTTTTGTACTGATACGGCACTTGCTCGTTCTTTGTTGAGTACAAGGCATCTTCAAGCGGCTACGGGCATACCTCATTTAAGAGATCGCTGATCGAGATCGAATTCAAGGGTGAGTCAATTCTTTCGGGCTGCCATGAGTTCTCATTCTGTTTAGTCCATTTATGTTCGGACTTAGACTAGTACTTTAGATATTCATTTGTTTAGTTTTGGGGTTGTACCCCTTGCTCTTAGACTTGTCGCTAGTAGAGTTTTGGTACATTGACTTTCAGGTTCTAGGCGTTGTTTTCCGCAATGTTTGGTAATTGTTTTGTCGAACTTTGGAGTTTATGGGAACTCCATTTTATTTGTGCATTTAAAATTGCTTCCGTATCTTTAAATGTCTAGCTTTGGGGTTAGTTGGTTAGTAGTAACGATTTTCCCACCGGAGGGTTAGTGTGGGTGCTAGTCACGACGGTCTGGATTGTAACACACAACCAATAATTTAAAGCTCAAAACTTGAGCTAAAATGGTAACTGTTATTGCGAGTACAATTGAAAACAAAATCTTGAACAATAAATTGTACTTTAGAACTTAGAATTATTTTCTATGAAAAGGAAAATAAACAACCAAACTCTAAAGCAGCTGAAAATCCCGCAAAAGTATACCAAAAAACAAGCATGGTAATTTCGTTAACTGAGGAAACAAAATCCTAAACTAATGGGTAAAATAAATTTAGAATCCTAATTGCCGTATATTACTATATTTCATATTTATATTTTATAAAATAAATAATGAGAAAAGAAATCTACCTTAAAAGTTAGTGCTAGTGTAAAAGTATGTGCAGCGAGTTAATCTCAAAAATAATAATACCCAATTGGTATTGCTCTTTATTATTTAATAAGAATATATTTTTCCTACTTTCCATTTTTATAACCTAAAACTAACTTTTACGAACTAAAAAGCTTAATTAAAACCCCAAAAAACTGGTGCCTTTTTTTAAAATCCTTAATCACATAGTAAACACGTAAGTTATATTAAACCAAGAAACATTAACATAGGAAGGAATTCTATCACCAAAAAAATTAACAAATAAAAACATTCTTATTTATTCAAATGGTACCAATTTAGCATGTCAAAAGCAAATACTTAAGTACTAGCATCTTCACTAATGACCTGGAAAACTCTGACAAGAAATAAGTCATGATTACAATACCCTTTACCCACAAAACCCATTATTATTGGTTATCACTACCTTGCCAGATTCAAATGCAACTTTCACCCCACCTTTCCTAATAATCACACTGAAACCAAATTGGTTCGGATACTAGGAACATTCAACACTTCAGTTAATGGCAACATTTTTTCAGATGTAAGCTTAAGAAGAACTTTTTCATTTCCAAGGACTTGAGTGATTGTGGAATCACCAAGATACACAACTTCTTCTCCTTCATTGACTAGGGTGTAAGACACAAAATCTATTTTATTGGCACAAATATGTCTAGTAGAACCTGAATCTATCATCCAGTCACTCACATTGACCACAATTTGGGAAATGACCGTCACAATGATATCATCTACTTCTGCCAGATTTACTCTTAGCTTAGCAGGATTGTCATTTTTTCCAACTTTGTTTCTACATTGAGCTGCATGGTGGCCTGGTTTGCCACACACAAAACAATTGCCTTTTTTCTTGAAATTTTGATTGTTGACCCTTAGTTTGTAATCAAGTTCTTTTCCATACATGTTATCTTTATTGCGAGACTTATTGTCTTCCACAAGATTGACTTTTGTAGTGGTTTCTTTTTCTTTTGCAGAAATCGATTGTTTTCGATTGGTATCCTCAGTGATGATGTGTTTCACCAAATCATCAAGAGATAATTGTTTTTTTTGTGCTGCAATTTTTTTTTGTAGTCATTCCAAGATTGTGGTAATTTTTCAATCAGCATACCAGCCACGAACTGCTCCAGTAAAATGATTTTTTCTGACTCAAGATCTTCAACTAGTTTGTGAAACTTATTGATTTGTACCTTCACATCTTTTTCCTCGATCATCTCCCATTTGTAAAAATTACCAATAACAAACGTTTTCTTAGTAGCATCGACAATATATTTAGCAAGTAGCAATTCTCAAATCTGCTTTGATTCCCTATTAGGACAATACATATCGAACAATTAATTAGAAAGAGTATTTAATATTGTGTGCTTACATACCTTATTTGCATAAATCCACTGATTTAGCTGTTAAGACACAGATTAATCCAGTTGAATCTATTAGCACAGACGCCACTCCATACATGTCAAGAGCAGAGAAAGTACGTTCTTTCCATCTCTTAAAATTTTGTCCACTAAAAACTTCCACTTTTTGAACATCAGGGAAATATTTGGTAAAGCTGTATGAAGGCACGACATGGACAACGCAATGAGATGTTTGAGCAACTATAGTGGTACTATCAGTAACAATAAAAGATGGACTGTTTCCGTGAACCATGATAACAAAATAAAATATCATTAAGATTGTTGGAGAGTATTAGAAATCACGAAAATCTGGTAGCTTGAGGCATGCCTATGGCAATGTCCTTAAGGATATTTCACAGGTTAAGGTGTATTCCCAGAATTCAATAAGCTCTTCTAGTATTAAACCTAGGAGCCAGAAACTAACAAATAAGGTATTTTACTTAAAGAAAACCTAGCAAATAAAATAATAAAGACAAGTTTTCCTTGTTATTCTTTTTCCACATCTTGGCTAAAACCATAAATTTATAGAGATCACAAATTGAGAGCTCCAAATATGTGCACAAAATGACATTCAATGAGTAGTAATGGCCATAAAAGCGACTAATTCCATATATTTCTTCAAATCGGTGCACAATCAATTTCATAAATGCCATAAAGGCTATTAATTCACTCCCATAATAAACCAAATAATCATTGGCAACGTTTTGAATGATACTTAATAGAATATCATCAAGACTAATATAATATGAGGCAATAATATATAATTAATTTTTTTTTACTAAATTTAATAATAGATGTAAAGAATTTCAAAGATAATTCTTATACTCTTTAAGATAATAAAGATATTTTATCAACATTTCTCTCATAATTTCAGGAGTGTTGGAGGAGCCGGAATGATTCATTGATCAATTTTGAGAGAATGAGAGATTGTTGAAGAATTATTTAGTGCTTGCTAATTTATATGACTCATTTTTTGTTTTAGTCAGTTGAAAAAAGATATATAATTAGCGATTTAATCCTTAGTTAAATTATTTATGGACTTCTTAAGTCACTACAACAATAAAAATGAATTCGAACAAAATAATTATATTCATCTATAATGCATTAAAACTGATTTTATTTTCAATAAAAGTACATAAATATTATTCGTACTATTCATTAGTCTATTTGTAGAACATTCTTATATACAGGAGGTAGCACTATCTCCAAGAAAGCTATGGTATTCTAGGAACAATTATGTTTGCCATGAATAGCGGAAGGCTCAATATTCTACATGTCCAAACATGGAATAAAGCTGTGAAAGATGTTGTGGAATCGATGCTTAAAAAAAAGAGGGCATGTTATGGTTAAATGAATGCATACCTATTATATCAAAGGCCAACACATATGAAAGTGTTGAGTAAATCAAGCCTCATGGATGCTTAAGAATATTTTAAAAGTTGCTCAAGTAATGGAGGAAGTAGGTTTACCTATGCGCACATACTGGATCAACATGCTTCTCTGTGAAGCAGGTGTATGCAAAACTTAGAGGTACTTATCAGAAAGTATATTCGAGGAGACTTGTATGCAATGATTTTGTAACAATCGGGTTCCATCGTTATAGAAATTCCAACGGGAGAAAAATTGGGGCCGGAAAAACTTTTCGTAGTACTTGAATTTTCCCAACCTTGTCCAGATTTGGACGAAATCAGAGTCCTTGAGGTGTGGGGAAATCTAGTAACAATCGGGTGGAGTAATTATAGTTTTGATTGCATGAGTGGTTAGATAACTTTTTAAGGAATCCGTACGACTTTACGGAATTGAATTCGGGCGAGTAGAACTCCTGAAATCGGTCTTAGCGTGAGAGGTATTTTCTGATTATCGTGGGTTAGAGATGTGTAGTGAAAGGGGATTTTGGAATTTCTTCAGTTGACTCTCTGGTTCCGTTTGTGCCGCTTTGGGGGAGTCTGGCCGCTACAGCGGGACATAGGGCATTGTGACGGGTACGACGGGACTTAAAATTGTAGAAAAGGATGGATAGCTGACTGGTTTGAAAATGCCGCTCTAGCGGGATTTGATGTCGCTCTGGCGCCGCCGCTACAGTGGGATGAGGGCCGCTGTGGCGGGCCAGATGCGACTTAATGTCGTTAATAAACTCCTAAACGACCTTATTTGGCACTTTTCAACTTTTAGAGCTAAGGAACGACCCCCAGGCAATTTCTACTCATTTTTCACCATTCTTGAGACTAAAGGTAAGCTTTTCACTCCCCGAATCCATTTCTCGATCCGTAGAACGTAATAGAATGGGTGAATATTGATGGGGAAGGTTTTGTTATAGATTCTATGGTGGAAACAACCCTAGTTTGGATGTTTGGGATCATGGGTTTGATCTAGGGTTCATAGAATTGTTATAGTTTCGGGTAATTAGCGATTGTTTGTTGATTTCCGTGTTATTGTGATTGTTTGTAGACCAAGAACAAGCAGAACGAATCCAAAAAGGAAAGGACCAAGTTTCTTAGGGTTTCAAGCTTGTTTCGAGGTAGGTGATGGTTGTGATTCTATGTTTGTGTGATGTATGCTTGTTCTTCCTTTATTAGGATACTTGTGTATGTATGAATGTTGCAATGTTGATCACACTTGTTGTAAATGAGATAGATGAATATCATTGCCATGAAATCATGATGTAAATGTATGATCTTGATGATGTACTTGTGATTGTGATTGTGATTGTGATTGTGGTGTGTGAATGAGATCGGTTGCCACGTTCCGACATAACTAACTTGGATCGGTTGCCATGTTCCGGCATAAAAATGGGATCGATTGCCATGTTCCGGCATAAATATGAGATCTATTGCCACGTTCCGGCATGCTAACTGTTTGCGTTTGGGTTCCATGAGAGGACTAATGATTTGTGATAAATGTATATTGATGAGCATGTAGATAATATTGTAGACGTTGATATATATGCATATAATTGTAATGTTGTTTGACTTGTTTATGTTGCACTAATGGGATAGTCGCGTGATCTTACCAGTACATTGTGGTTGTGTACTGACTATGCACTTGCTCTTTTTTTTTTTTAGTACATGGCATCTTCACACGACTACTGACAGACCTCGCTTAGAAGATCAGTGATCGTCGCTTCGAATTCAAGGGTGAGACAATTCTTCCAAGCTGCCATGGGATTATCTCTCGTCTATGTCCATCATTTCCGGACTTAGATAATTGTTCTAGTTAGTTGATTAGTTGATTAGTTGGAGATTTATCCCTTCTTGTTTAGACTTGGATCATTTGTTTAGATGTTTTGGTACATTGACTTTCAAGTTCTAGGTATTAAATTTTCGCATTTGTTAGTTAATTAACTAACAAATGGGAAAATTTAATACCTAGAACCTAAAAAAATACCCCATGGATTAAAGGAAGTGAAAAAATTACTCAAAAACTAGAAAATGTTAAGGAAAGTACCCATAATATAGAATTAATTATATTTTCAATAGATAAATTAAAAATAATTCAAGAACGATTAGACACATTATATAGTGAAGACCCTTTAAAAGGATGGGAAAAACATAAAACAAAGGTAAAAATTGAGTTAATTGATGAAAATAGTATAATAACTCAGAAACCATTAAAATATAATTTTGATGATTTAGCAGAATTCAAAATGCATATTAAAGAATTACTAGAAAATAAATACATCCAAGAAAGCAATAGTAAGCATAATAGTCCGGCATTTATAGTAAACAAACACAGTGAACAAAAAAGAGGAAAAAGCCGTATGGTAATTGACTATAGAAATCTAAATGCAAAAACAAAAACATATAATTATCCTATACCAAACAAAGTATTAAAAGTAAGACAAATACAAGGATATAATTATTTTAGTAAATTTGATTGCAAATCAGGATTTTATCATCTAAAGTTAGAAGAAGAATCTAAAAAATTAACAGCTTTCACAGTACCACAAGGATTCTACGAATGGAACGTATTACCTTTTGGATATAAAAATGCACCAGGAAGATACCAACATTTTATGGATAATTATTTTAACCAATTAGAAAATTGTATAGTATACATAGATGACATATTATTATATTCCCGTACACAAGAAGAACATATAAGATTATTAGAAAAATTTATACATATCATAACATACTCAGGAATAAGTTTAAGTAAGAAAAAAGCAGAAATAATGAAGACCCAAATAGAATTTCTAGGAATACAAATAGATAAAAATGGTATAAAAATGCAAAACCACATAGTACAAAAAA